CGGGAAATAACTCCGGGAATGCGCCGACAAACAGCCTGCATTCGAGACAGTGATACATAAGAGCGATTAATTCTGTGTTTGAAGAATAACACAGTAAAAATCATGCTGGAGCGGCAAGGATAAGGTGAGAAAATGGCAGGAATGAGATAAAATCATTCCGGGTTTCGAAGAATAAGATAAAATCCCTGTGGGATTGAAAGAATAAGGTAAAATAATTGTAGGTTTGAAAGATTAGGATAATTGTAGGTTCGGAAGATTAAGAGAATAAAAACGGTGTAGCATGGCAAGAATTAAGACATTCACTCCAGGGTTGCAAGATTAAGATTAATTAATTCTAGAATCGCAAGCATAAAACGATTCCAGAGCTTTCAAGAGTAATACACAAGAGTAAAATAATTCCAGAATTGCAAGAACAAGGTAAGAAAACCATCCTGGATTGGCAAGAATAATACAGAGTAAAATAAAATAATTCTAGAATTGTAAGAACAAGGTGAGAAAATCATCCTGGGTTGGCAAGAATAATATAGAACATAAAACTATGCTGGGATTGCAAGAATGAAACATAATAAAATTGTTCCAGAGTGGTAAGAATACAAAATTCATTCTAGAATGGCAATAAATAAATTCTAGGGTTGTAAGAGTAATTTATTTGCAAGAATGTATGAGGAAAACAGTTCTAGAAAGCCAAGAATGCAAGAGAAAAATCTAGACTTGCAAGAATAATGCATTTAAGATCACTGAAATTGCAAGAATACAAGGAAATAATTCTGAAGTTGTGAGAATAAGTAAGAAAATAACTCCAGAATTGCGAGAATAAATTAAGAAAATAGTTCTGGAATTTCAAGAATGATAAATAATAAAATAATTCTATCATTACAAGGATAATGCATCATCATTCTAGATTTTCAGGAATATAAGGCGAGAGTCATTCTGGAATTAGAAGGACAACCTGTAATAAATAGTTCCATGTTACACAATTATAATGAAGTAATTCTATAATTATAAAGAACGGCAAGAATTCCTCTCCTAACTCTGTACTTCATGTCCCAGCCCCTCTCCTTGGTGGGCAGGGGCCAGCTGTGGAATTTGGTGCCAATTCCATGGGATGTGCCTGGCACAGGGCGCTCTGGAGGGTCCCACCCTGTCCCCCCTGGGACCCGTGGAAGGGGCTGGGGGAACATCAACACTCATTTCCACCCTTTTCACCCTTTCTTGCCCCAAAAAGGCACCTCCACAGAGCCAAACTGAACATCCTGGGTAAAACTCCAGCAGCTGGGACACTGTCCAGCTGGGATAACAGAGCTCCCTGTCACACAGGCAGCACATGGATAAACACATTCCAGATCGCTCAGCTGAGAGCCTCGAGGGACAGGGCACAGGGAATGGCTTCCCACTGCCAGAGGGCAGGGTCAGGTGGGATATTGGGAAGGAATTCCTGGCTGGGAGGGTGGGGAGGCCCTGGAATAGAATTCCCAGAGAAGCTGTGGCTGCCCCTGGATTCCTGGAAGTGTCCAAGGCTTGGAGCAACCTGGGCTA